ACAGTGTAATTATAAATGTAATTACAGAAATTAATTACAGATGTAATTACATGCAGGTATTTTTAAAATATAAGTACAATGTAAAAACACGTATGTGCACAATAAGTGCATTGTACCAAATTATTCATTTAAATGTAAGTACATAGTAGTTAAGGCCACTTAATATAAAGTGGGACCTAAAAAACGATATAAATACTGTTCAGTTTATTGCACAGACCGATCGTTTAGTGTCTTTACACATCAATGTATCGTCACGAGCCGCAGGGTTTAATTTGGTTTTGTTTGTGTATGGTTTTTTTTACTCTCAAAGCCGTGATTCCCATTCACTTCCATTATAAGACTGACAGACTGCAACGGTTTGAGTTAAAAATCTTTGTTTGTGTTCTACTGAAGAAACAAAGTCCCCTACATCTTGGATGCCCTGGGGGTAAGCAGATAAACATCAAATTTTCATTTTTGGGTGAACTATCCCTTTAACTTTTATAAAGAATATCTCTTTGGATTTGAGACTTTAATCTTTGCAACTTTACAGATCTTCTTTATGAGCCAAGAGCTTGTAACACTCCAAAGAGAAAGGAAAAATTGAAATCGCATCATATGACCCCTTTAATTATAATGTTTGTTTGTAAAGTACAGTATCAACCTCTACATTGCGTGCTCAAAACAGGATAACCAAACAAAATTCATTCTTGTTCCAGTATTTCCAGTTAATCAACCACAGTTGTTTAGCACGTTCAAAATGAGTGCGTGTGAGCAATTTGTCAACTTACAGAAGGATAGGCTGCAATAGAGAGGAAGTAAAAAATAACTTTGTGTACTAGACCCATCAGAGAGGAAAAAGGCAGGGAGCTGTTGGGCAGGCCATGGTTTTACAGTGTGTCATATAATAAACAGAGGTAAAAAAAGGTGATTTACCACTTTCATTCAATTTATGGACATAAGGTTCTCAGTAAATTGATTCACACTCCAGTACACCACATTCAGTTTGTATGTTCATTGTGTATGTTTCATATATGGACAAAACACTTCCTAAAAGCATAACTTGTCCACTCAAATAAAAGTGCTGTTTTCAGCATCATAAAGCTGCACCATGGGCAATGGAGATGGAATGGCTCATGTCCAGAGCCAGCGAGTTCTGTGGTAGTGCAGAATTCTAATGAGAAACATGCGTGCTGCACTGCTGAAAGCTGGGAGCTGTCACTACAAATGTGGATATGTGTTGCATTTTTGGGAACTGGTTTTTGTGTGTTATTCTGCAGTACATTCGAAAAGGTTTTTGATGTCCCCTGAATGTAGTCGAGTGTTTCTGGTGTGCCAGATCTGGGTAGTCTGGAATGCCTCTTTGCCTGCAGATGAATCACGGCTGCTAAAACAGTACCACAGTTCTGCACGAGGCAGGGATGAGCTCAATGTGTGAATGCATTTTGTGCCGAGTGAGAAACTGTGTTAGCTATCGGTGTGTATGTGTTAGCGCTCATTTCTGGAACAAATCTGGAACACTTGCTGTTTAGCTTTGTTGTGGATGAAAGTTTGCCAGTCTCCTTTAGTCGTGACTAGAGCGTTGTGAATTCTCATGAATCTGTTCATCTCGATTTCCTCTCGAGGAAAACGAAATGCAAAATAATAATTTACTGAAACATTATTATTGTTCCTTTGCCCTCTGAATTCTCATTCTTTTGTGCTGCAGTCTTGGATGAATGAAGCTTTGTGAATATTTTTGAAACATGTCTAAAAACCATCCCACTCTCAAACTTCTTAATGTGGTTTTTCCACTGTATTTCTTTTTTTATTGCAAATATATGTCTGTCTTTCATCCTCTCCCTGCTGCTGTGGTGGTCCGAGTCCATCCTGATCTTTAACACTGTCGTTCTGCTTGGCAGGGAGCCGCGGAAGATCCTGCTGCACAAGGGTTCCACAGGTTTGGGATTCAACATTGTGGGCGGTGAGGATGGAGAGGGCATCTTCGTGTCTTTCATCTTGGCAGGTGGGCCAGCCGACCTGAGCGGAGAGCTGAGGAGAGGAGACCGCATCCTGTCGGTCAGTAACTGTCCGTGACACTCAAGTTCAAATAGTGAAGATGGACAGCATTAAAATGACAAGAATTGTCTTGTAAAATGTCTTATATGGAAGCCAGTTTCCACCATGGAATAAAAAAAATTAAAAGGCTAAATGCAATGTTTTATCTCCCAGTTCCAACTTTTTTTTTAATCCCATGGCGGAAACAAGCTTCCATAGTCTTATGTTCACTAAGGCTGCATTTATTTATTCAAACATACAGTAAAAACAGAAATATTGTGAAATATTATTACAATTCAAAATAAGCATTTTTAATTTTAATATATTTTATAAATATTTTATAAAATGTAATTTATTCCTGAGATGGCAAAGCTGAATTTTCAGCAATCACTATTCCAGTCTTAAGTGTCACATGATCCTTCAGAAATGTATCAGATTCTAATATGCTGATTTGCTGTTTAAAGAAACATTTGTTATTATCAATGTTGAAAACAGCTGTGTTGCTTAATATTTTTATGGAAATCATAATGCATTTTTTTTCAGGATTCGTTGATGAATAGAAAAAACTGTATTGATTTACTCACAATTTCAATCAATAAAATGCATCCTTGCTGAATAAAAGTATTAATTTCTTTTAAAAAATCGTACTGACCCCGAACATATGAGGAGTTTGGTTCCAAAACGCGATAAACGCCATTTTTTTAAAAATGTAGTTCCGCCAAAATCAGTATTATATCTGGTCGGTATTGAAAAGTCAATTTTTAATTTTACGCAAAATGTGATAACCGCCGAGTTATTCTGTCAATTTTTCTCCCATTTTTTCCAAACCGCGACAAACGCCAGTCTCCCTTTTCTGCAGAATGCGATATATCTGCTCAACCAATCACAGCGCACCATTCCACGCACTGTAAACTGTAACAACCAATCACAGCACACCATTCCTAGTCTATGACCATTCCACGCACTCTAGACAGTAATGGCGGTGCTTTGAATACACCCGGCATCGTAGTTTTCCTCATCTATTTTGTACTTTGTGATCAACAAACAAACAAAAAAATTAGGGCTGCACGATAAATCGCATGCGATTGTCATGCGCATCTCGTCAGTAAAGCCAGTTCTGTGAACAGTAAATCTCCATCACGTGCTTTCAGATGGAGCGGCATTTAATACACAGAGCCGTAGATCACTGCTATAATCATAGCAGTAACAGATAGGGTTGCCAACCGTCCCGTATAATACGGAATCGTCCCGTATTTAAGGCATCAAAGAAGCGTTCCGTATGAAAGCTATACGGAACGCAGTTTGTCCCGTATTTAAGGCATATGCCGTATGAACATCTAGACCATACGAATAACAAACTTATTGAGAATTAATCATTCTTTTTTGACAAGTGTTTGATTTGTGAACATAGCCGTTCCAGGGAGGCTTTAAGACCAAGCGGAATCCTCTGCCGCTTCACAGCAAGCGGGACTCACGCCGGAGTTGGGTTTTTTTAACGACCGCGTTTCGACTTCAGCAAATCAGTTTGGGCGAATGCAAACAACGTGATTCCAACATCCAGCCAT